TAAATTCAATTTTTTATGTAGTAACTCTGCTACCTATGTACAATTTTTTTTTTTTTGCGGTACACGGGCCTCTCACTGTTGTGGCCTCTCCCGTTGTGGAGCACAGGCTCCGGACGCACAGGCTCAGCGGCCATGGCTCACGGGCCTAGCCGCTCCGTGGTGTGTGGGATCTTCCCGGACCGGGGCACGAACCCGTGTCCCCTGCATCGGCAGGCGGACTCTCAACCACTGCGCCACCAGGGAAGCCCCCTATGTACAATTTTGATTTATTTCCAGAGAAGTAAAATAATCTCTTTAAATTTAATGTTAGCGTAAGCATGGAATTCTTAAATTAACCAAGTGTGTACTTTAGAGAAACAGGAATATATCTTGACATGTTTAGAGAGATATGCAATCCATAAAGATTAAATAGCAATGGTAAAGTCTTCCCGGTTATTTTATTTATTTTTAAAATTTTTATTAGTACTGTAGTGTTACTTGTTACTGCTGGAAAAAAACATACTGCATATAAGTGGACCCATGCAGCTCAAACCCGTGTTGTTCGAGGGTCAGCTGTGTATTGGTCCCTAGGAAAGTATGCGCCCCCTCCACGACCCACACGTTTGAAAATGAGTGGCATCTGATTGGTTTGCAAAATAAAGTGTATAGGTTCCATCCTTATTCTCTCCTGAGCCTTGTTCTGGGTGTTCCATGAGGAGATTCAAGGAAAAGGACAGGTCCTTACTTTGAGGAGTTCCCAGGCTGGAAGAGACAGCACATATGAGGACCAGGGCCATAGCTAAAAAAGCCCTTGACGTGGCTGTGGATAAGTGGAGGATTAGGGGAGCACAGGTGGCCAGAGGAAGAAGGGAAAGGGGGAATGTGGAGGAGGGCGCTAAAGGAGGCAGAGAGGAATGGGGAGACGTTCTTAGTCAGAGATGGGACCACCTTGTGAATAGAGGGAAGTATAACAAGGAGTGTGTCTGTCCTGCATTGGCTGAAGGTCTGAAGGGGCTAATCTCTAAAAGTGTAATTTGGTGGCAGGTATGGGGGTGGGGGGGAAGAAGAGGGCAAGACTATTAAGAAAAAAGAGAGAAAAGATTCCAGTATGATAGGGAAGACAGGTCACAGGGTGTGTGGGAGATGACAGGGTTGGAGGGGGAGGACTCTAGCCATGGGGCTTCAGAGGGATTGAGATGATCAGAATCAAAATCACTGGTAGAGAGAGCTGAGACAGGCTGGGACCTGGGCCCCTTTGCTGCAGTGCTGCAGGGCTTGCACATGGACACACCTCTCCTTGAGCAACGGAATACAAAGAAACTATATGGGACTAAAAACAACTGTGTGCATGCCCAGTTGGGGCAAATTCTGGACCCAAAACATACAAAGAAACCAAAAAACCCAACTGCCACTTTTGAAGTGCCGGGAGCAAAAGCAAGGTACTGTGCATGCTCCCTGCACACAGCACCACCTAAGGGGCGGCAAAATACCTAAGCCACCCCTCTGGCCGGACTCCTGGACACACCCCTACCCTCACCCCATATAAGAAACAAGCTTACCTCCCTTTGGGGAGTGAGCAAGCAAAGGAAGCTCTTGTTTGTTCGTGCTCCCCTCTTGTGCAGCAAGGGCCCCAGTAAAGCCTTGCCTGAATTTCTTGCCTGGCCTCTAGTCAATTTCTATTGCTTCGGGAAGGCCAAGAACCCTGGCCCGTAACAGAGCTGCAGAGGCCCTTAGAGGTGATTTAATCCAGCCTCCCTGAGACCAGAGAGAAGCACTTGGTCCAAAGACTCATCACTATGTAGTTTATCTAATGATATTAATTATAACTAACATTTATTGAATACTTCCTGTCTGCCAGGCACTGTTCTCAGCATTTACAAGTATTCTTTTGTTTACTTCGTAGAACAACCCCACAGGGTAGGTATTATCATTACTATTTTATATTTGAGGAAAGTGGGGTGCAGAGTGTTAAGTAAAGTACCTGAGATTACGCTGTTAGTAAATTGTGGAGCAGAATTCATACCAGGCAGTCTGGCACCAGAGCCCATACTCAGTCACTGTGCTGAACTGTCCCGCAGAAGCAGAGTCCAGCCCTCTGATTCCCAAGTCTAATTCTTTCCACTTTAGCCTAAGGCAGAGGGAGATTGGGTAGAGGGGCTTTGACTGCAGACCGTCGTCCTCCAATGCGTTGACTTTTCCAGGTTGAGGGCAAGAACTCCATCATCCTGACCTTCCGACAGCTGATGGCAGAAGAGGGGCCTTGGGGCCTCATGAAAGGCCTCTCCGCCAGAATCATCTCAGCCACGCCCTCAACCATTGTCATTGTGGTGGGCTACGAGAGCCTCAAGAAACTCAGCCTCCGACCTGAGCTGGTGGACTCAAGACACTGGTAACCAGTGATGGGGAGAGGAGCCTGCTGTTTCCCACACTACTCTGAGTCGGGCAGAGAGGAGAGGGTAGCACCCTCTTCAGGTGCCCCACCAGATACCGAGTCCAGCCCTGGGTCAGGGACAGAGACTTTGAACTGCTCTTGCTGAAGAGGCTCCACGCCTGGATCCCCTGCTCTCATTTTAAAATTTTCTTGCCAAACTGGGCTCACTCATTCAGTACAGGTACTGTCCTGCCCTAAGGAAATCCACTCTCCCTGCCAATCCCACTCCATCCATCCCCTGCCAACCCTTCTCTGCCTTCCCCCTCCATCTGTGTCCCTGAGATCCTGAGAAGAGCTGCACATAGAACTTGCTTACTACCACTGGTTCTTCCTCTTGGGCTTTCAGCCCAGATTCCAAGCAGTTGCCATCAGCCCTTTCCTGCTTCATCTCTTAGGCTTGATTATTTTTATTTTGGGACTGAGCTGCCCACCAGACTACTCTGCTTTTCCCTGCCACTGGGGGCAAGGTGCCAGGCACTTTTGCACAGGGAGTGGGAGCAGCAAAAACCTCTGGTTCTCCAGAGCACCCATCCTCTCTTTGGAGAGTTATTAGGTTGGGGAGAAATGTTGATACTTTATTTTGTGTGTGTATTTTTCTGTGAACCAGGCTACTGTCTTAGTCCTGCTAAAGCACCAATCCTGCATTCAGAGCCCACCCCTTCCTCAGACAGGTGGAAAAATATCATGTAGCTTTTCCCTCGATCCCAGTTATCTATCCCTCCCAGTCCCTTCAGTCCCAGCAGCCTCAGGATATATAAGCTGTTTTTTTCCTCCTGGCCCGGATGACTACAGTGGTGGGCACAGCTCTAAATAGATCAGACTGTCTGGGACACACTGGACTTGGAACACTACCCTGAAAAGTCTGGTTTAGAGAGTAGTTGGTTTGGAAAGTGACAGGAGTATATGTGTGCCCTAGTGCATCTCCCTCGACCAGCTGAGCCAAACCTAGGAGAGGGCAGTGGAGGTTCTCAGCCCCAGGCAGTCATAACACACATATATACCCCAATCACTTGGACTCACAGAAACAGATGTTGTCTCACAATGGGAGTCTCTGAGATGTGGAACTGTTTGTGTTTTTCTTGTCTCTGATCTGAGGAGTCATCCCGGTCATGGTACCCTCTGGAGAGATGCTTGGAGGCGGGTAAAGGGCGGGTCAGGAACTCACCCAATACCAGGACCACTGCATTTACCAGCCTGATACTGCCGAGATGATCTGTTGAAGCTCTCAGGAGCTAGATGATGAGTGCTCCTTCCCTGCCTCATCCTTCCCCCACAACACACACCTCCTCTACCAAGCTTGTGTTGCAGGTGAGGAGAGGTGCAGTAAATGGAATGAGAAGAAGGCATATCAAACCCTGCACTTTTACTTGAGACATCTGGCTTGGATGACCCTTCAAACTTTCTTATTGGTCCCACCCCCTGGGAGAGGCCATGGTGCCAACTTGAAAGGTGCTAGCTACCTGAAGCCTTGATATTTCTTATGGCTGCCCCACATTCTATCCCCCAGGCAAGATCAGAATCTGAATTCTCTACCTTCACCACCACCACTGCCCATCTTGGGCTCTATCTTTGAGGGTTATTTTCTCTTTCGCTTATTTTTATTTTTGTCTGTCCCTTCTTGCGCTTTGTCAAGAGTCCTCCAATTTCTATTCACAAATGGTCATCCAAAGGGTTGGGCCCACAGATCATGAATCTTCCTGCCTCTCAGTCACTCCTTTACCCTAAGAACCACCAACATAATAGAAGCCAGGGGTCCCTCCTTTCTTTTTAAACTCATCCTAGTGAGACCTTTGGAGGTTGGTTTTCTCAGCTCCGCACCTTCCCCTCCCTACAGTCTTGTCTTCAGTCCTTCCCCACCATTGCAAAGTGGGTAAATTATCAGGGACAGGAGGTAGTCTCCTGCTTCTCATGTCTTAGGTTGTTTCCATCCCAGACTCCTCCAGACTCTTTCTTCTGTTTTATTTTATTGTACAGTATTTCAGTCTTTCACCTGTTTCCTCTGTCTGTCTCTCTCTGTCACACACACAGTTTTAAAGGATGATGGGCATTTACTAAAAGGGACCCCTGGCCCCTACTTTCCCATCTAATATTTTAGGGACAGGGATTGGGTTTGGTTAAAATGCCTTGGTCGGGGTGGGATAGTGGGCTTCCATTTTCCCAGGACCATGGATCTGGACCAATTGGAATTTTTGATATATTGGTCTGTAGCCAAAATTGGAAGAAACTTTCGGGAGACTGGGCAAGACGGGAAACCTGATGGGAGTATTTAAGGACAGGGGAATAAAGTGCAGATGCAGTTAACATTTGATAAAATGGACTCGTGAATATTAACAGCGAACATTCACTGTTGCACTGTATGAAGTCTCCGAAGTGTAATTAAACGTTTTTATTGAGTCCTTGAGCTTTGCGCTTATTTTGCCCGCTTGCCGAGAAAGTATGTTACGTAAGTGTATTGTTCTTGTATTAATACGTGTGTAACCCTCCGCCTCCGGCAGTTTCCCCTCCCCGCGGCTCGGTGATAGACATTCACTGCTTCCAATCGGAGGCGCGCAGTACCGGGAGCGGCCAATCGGGGGCTTCGGTGGGCGGAGCGGCCGGGCCAGTTAGCTTTGGCGGTTTTATTTCAACATGGCCGAAGCGAGCGGCGTCAACGTAGGCAGCGGCTGTGAGGAAAAAGGGCCTGAGGAATTATCTCAGGAATCTGCGCGCCCCGGCACTACCATCTCGAGGGTGAAGCTTTTTGACACCATGGTGGACACTTTCATCCAGAAGTTGGTCGCTGCTGGGAGGTAAGGTGGAGGAAGTGAGGCTGAATGCCAGTCTCGCAGTAGGTTGAGGTGGGCGAGAGGCAAAAAGAGCGTTTGTCCCGCCAGAGTCTAAACCCCGCGAGACCAGGACGGCCCCAGGGGAACCAGCCCAGTCACGTGGGTCTGGGGTTCTGGGTTATTTATTGGCAGTCATATTCTATTCTCAATTCCGAAGCTTCCGGAAGTCACGTGATGTTTACTATTACATAATTAGGTAATGTGGAGCACATTTAGGACAAGTAGCTACTCCTTCCAGTAAACCTAGGTTTTGTTTTTTGTTTTTTTTGTAAATAATGGATGCACTTATAAATTTATTTTATTTATTTTTGGCTGCGCTGGGTCTTTGTTGCTGCCTGCGTGCTTTCTCTAGTTGCCACGAGTCCGGGCTGCTCTTCATTGTGGTGCGCAGGCTTCTCATTGTGGTGGCTCCTCTTGTTGCGGAGCAGGGGCTCCAGGCGCACGGGCTTCAGTAGTTGCAGCATGTAGGCTCAGTAGTTGTGGCTCGCGGGCTCTAGAGCGCAGGCCCCGTAGTAGTGGCGCAGGGCTTAGTTGCTCCGTGGCATGTGGGATCTTCCTGGACCAGGGCTTGAACCCGTGCAGTTTCTTAACCACTGCACCATCAGTGAAGTCCCCAGTAAGCCTAGTTTTGATTATAGGTGGTTGAGAGGAAAGACACAGGCTTTGGAGTTAGATTTAGGGTTCAAGTCATGGCCCAACTTAAAGTGAGCGAGACTTAACTGCTCTGTGCCTGCGTTCCTCATAAATAAAATGGGAACAATAGTACTTTTCTCATAGGGTCGGTCTTTCTGAGGTTTAAATGAGTAAAAACTCGGAAGGCTCTTAGAACAGTGCCGGCTACGTAGAAAGCATTAGACTTCTAGCTGTTGTTATGGAAATAGTAATAACCTTCACTGGGTGGTTGTGAGGACTAAATGTATTGCCATAGAAAGAAACACTTCCTCTCTTGATTTCTACTTTATATGAGCAATATTCTAACAATGCTGTTGACCTGAATTGTTGGACACTTTAATCAATAGAAATTGATATGGGCTTCCCTGGTGGCGCAGTGGTTGAGAATCCGCCTGCCAATGCAGGGGACGTGGGTTCGAGCCCTGGTCCAGGAGGATCCCACATGCCGCGGAGCAACTGGGCCCGTGCGCCACAGCTGCTGAGCATTCTCAAGCCACAACTGCTGAGGCCCGCATGCCTGGAGCCCGTCCTCCGAGGCGGGAGAGGCCACCGCAGTGAGAGGCCTGCCCGCTGCAGCGAGGGGAGGCCCCCGCTCCCTGCAACTAGAGAAAGCCCATGTGCAGCAACAAAGACCCAACGCGGCCAAAAATAAATAAAATAAATTAACCCCCCCCAAAAAAAATGAATAAAAGAAAAAATATTTTTTTAAAAAAATAGAAATTGATAAGAGGAGAAATTCAGGCAAGGCTTTATTGAGACTCATGCTGCTGCATGAGGGAGTGAAAACAAGTTACAGGTGTCCTTGCTCATTTTTCTGAGGGGGAGTGAGCTGGTCCCTTAAATGGGGTGAGGGTAGGGGTGGATCCATTGGTCCGCTGGAAAGGTGGCTTAGGTGGTCTGCCCACCCCCTCAGTGGTGCTGTGTGCAGGGATCATGGGCAGTACCCTGCTTTTGCTCCTGACACCTCGAAAGTGACAGTTGGCTTTTTGGTCTTTTTGTATCTTGATCAGAATTTGCACCAACTGTGCATGTATGTAGTTGTTTTTAGTCCCTTATAGTTACTTTGTATTGTTGTTTGAGGAGACGTTTGCCTAGGTGCAAGCACTGCAGGAAAGCGTCCCAGGTCCCAGCCTGTCACAACAGTATTGGACACTTTAAAGGAAGAGTTTTGTCCATGGTCCCATACCCCAGAACATTAATGCTGAAACACTGTTATCAGAACTTTAAGGGGTCTGACCACAGCCTGTTTTCCATCCACCCTCTATGTCCCCACTACCCCTGTTCTTTAACATCATCAAGACTCTCATCTGCTCCCTATTTCCTTCCCTCCTGGTTTTAGGACTTTACCTTTCCTACAAAAACCTTATGATACATCTCTTCACTCACTGATTCACTCAGCAAATATTTGAATGACTGTTCTGTGCCAGGCGCTGTGTCAGGTGCTGGGGATATGATAAAGCAGACAAGGCCCCTGTCATATTCAGTGGGTAGAGACATGAAGTAAACAAAATAATCATAGAGTTTGGTAAGGTAATGAACGAGCAACTTAAGGGAAAGGAAAACACTAGATAGGACAGTTAGGAGATTCCACTCTGAGGAAGTGACATTGATATGAAACAAAGAATAGGAGGGAACCGGCTTTTCAAAGAACTAGAGAAAAAGCTTATAGGAAGGAAGGACAGCTTGTGCAAAGGTCCTGAAATGGTCAGGGCGTTCTAGGAGCTGGCAGAGTGAGAGGAAAATCAGAGGAGGCCGCACAGGCAGGTGACAGCCTTATCAAGCAGGGCCTAGTTTCCATAGTAATAAATTTGATAAAATAATTTGTAATCATTTTTATGGCCCATTCATGACACACCATCATTTTATGTCCAGGCAAGACCTCTCCATTGATTGATTGATTGGCTTTCCCTTACTCATTCTTACCCTCCTCTCTCCTCCCCACAGGCCCTGCTTTCTGTTGGCTATATGTCCTCCATTTATTCATGTATTCATGTACAAATGTTTTTTGGACATCTCCAGTGTCTCAGGCTCTGTTTTAGGAGCTGGAGATACAGCAGTGATCAAGATAGGAAGGTCCCTGCTCTTGTGGAATAGACTTTCTTGTGCCACAAAGAAAAATAAATCAGCGTGAAGGAACAGAGAGCAATGGGGAAGGGGTCTAGGTTAGTGTGAGTGCAGGGAGGTGACATTTGAATAAGTCTGCATCCTTGTAAAGTGTGTTGTTTTGGCTGTGTATTTTTTTTAAATTTGTTTATTTATTTTTGGCTGCGTTGGGTCTTTGTTGCTGCATGAGGGCTTTCTGTAGTGGAGGTAAGCAGGGGGCTACTCTTCCTTGTGGTGCGTGGGCTTCTCATTGTTGCAGAGCACGGACTCTAGGTGTGCAGGCTTCGGTAGTTGTGGCCCATGGGCTCTAGAGTGCAGGCTCAGTAGTTCCGGCGCACGGCTTAGTTGCTCTGCGGCATGTGGGATCTTCCCAGACCAGGGCTCCAACCCATGTCCCCTGAATTGGCAGGCGGATTCTTAACCACTGCGCCACCAGGGAAGTACCCTGTCTGTGTATGTTTTAAATTTATATGAATGATAGTTGTGCTGCATATGTCTTTTTTCACTTAATAGATTTTTTTTTTTAAGATCTAAGCATATACTATAAATGCATATGGTTCAGAGCTCTCAGTGCTGCTTGTCATTTCATGATATGCATCCAGCACTTACCCATTCCCTATCATGGCACCTGGTTGCTTCCAGCTCCCTCCTCCACAAATTATGTCAGGATACATCCCCTCACAGACTAGTGCTAGAATTTCTCTGAGGTATATAATGGATTGGAATCACGGGATCCAAGGGTTTATATCTACCTATGTTTTGTCAGATTGCTTTCTGGAAAAGCTGTTCCTTTCTCCTGTGTCCTCACCATCACTGGGTATCTACCATTCTAATATTTGCTATTCTGAAGGTGTGAAAGGGGTATTTCATTATTATTTTAATTTGCACATTTCTGATTCCTCATAGGTGTGGGCAATTCCTTATATACCTCATTAGTCATTTGGCTTCCTTTTCTGTGAACTGCCTACTTATTTTCTGTAGTGTTTTTGGGGTTTTTTTGGACCTTTTTTTTTTTAATTGGGTTTTTTATCTTGATGATTTGCTGGAGTTCCCTGTATAGTCTAGATATCAATCCTTTGTCTGTTTCAGACTGAAGAGGAAATAGCTGCCTCTATTAGATGTTAACTTTGTCTATGATGTCCTTTGAGTAACAGAAATCCTTCATTAAATAAAAAATTACACAGATTTTAGTTTCTTACACTTTACCCCAGGAAGATGAAGCAGAAAGAGAAAGGTAGTCATCCCAAGGGACCTTCTCCCAAGCAGTATGGATACTCATGACTCTTCTCAGCCTTTGCACTAACTTCGCATCCTTCAAACAGTCATAATAAATTGCTAAGTATTGCCTAATCAATTTGTATTTTAAAACCCTTAATTTTCATGTAATTCATGTTTTTCATTTTATGGCTTGTGCTTTTGAGGTCTTGTTTACAGAGGTATACCAATGCCCAGGTCACAAAGATAATCTCCAGTGTTTTCTTCTATTGGCTATTTTATCATTTTACTCTCTGCTCTAAATCTGTGATCTGTCTGGATTCAGGTGTAAAGTGGTAGTCTCAGTCAGTCTTATTTTTGTTGTTTTCCCAGTCATTGTCAACTAAACAGTTCGTTCGTCCCCATTGCTTTAGGGAGCCCCTTTTATCGTATGGCAAGTCCCTCCGCCTATTGTGTCCCTGGGTCTCTCTTCTGCCCCAGATCTATTCACCTGTCTTTGTGCCAGTGCATATGGGTTCTTAATACCAAACCTTTGTAGCAAACTGTAAATCTGGTACAGCAAGTCCCTCTTCTCTCTTCACTTTAAAATTGACCCAGCTATTTGAGAACCTTGATTTTTTTCCTTGTAAACTTTAGAATGAATTTTTCTGGATCCTCAAAACATTCAGCTGCAATTTTTGGTATGTATTTTTGGCAAATTAAGGAAGTCCCTGTCTCATTCTAGTTTTCTGAGAATTATTAAGAAGATCATGATTCGGTGTTGAACCTATCAAATGTTTTCTTCCCCAGTTAAGAAGATCATATAATTTTTCTTTAGTTCATTAACGTTGATGATCTACATTGGAAGATTTTATGGAAGTTAAACTATCTTTGCATTCTTGGAATAAATCTACTTAATTATGATGCATTTAAAAAATACAGTTGGATTTAGTTAGATCAGTGTTTGTATGCCATAAGTGAAATGGGCCTATGGT